TTTATTATTTAAGCTTTGAATTTAAAGTATATTTAAAAATTAAAAAAAATTAAAATTTCATATTTTTCACTCATTTATTTATCATTTTTATTTTATTTTTACATATGATAATTATTAGTTAAAATTGAAACTGAGCTTATAATATTTTCAAAACCACATTAAATTCTTTCCCAAAGATTAATAATAATAATAATAATAATAACGGTTTATCTAACTTGTACCCTTAGAATATAAGTTAAGGGTATAATAAATACACCTTTTATAATTAATTTACATTAAAAATTATAAAAATTGATATATATTTTAATACCATTGACACGTAAATGACTTTAATTGGTTAACTGATTAAACCAAAGTCAACATTTACACGCTCAATGAAAATTAATTATAAAAAATACATTTATTATACCATTATCTTATTCCTTCAGGGCACAAATAGAAAAATGCTAATAATAATAATAATATTATAATAATTATAATAATAATAAAACTTAAGAATAATAATAACAATATTGTAATGTACTATGCAAATTTGAAAAAAGAGACAAATACTTAATTCATAGCAAAAATAAATGCACCTTACTCAAATGATTGCTGCTTTCTTCAAATGACGAAAGAAAGAATGTGCTAGGCGAAAGGCCTCTTCACTGCTTGCATGCACCAATAAACCTTCTAGCCACTTCAAAAGTTTTATCACGTGCACAGTGATTCAGTCGGTTTTTACATGATGTATAGGCACAAGTAATTTAATTATTAAAATATAATACAAATATAGTTAATTTAATTAGTTTGTACATGATGTGTTAAACATCATAACTGCATCTTAATATTTGTTTATCTATAATTTCATATAAAAAAATAATCTTTAATGAATGTATTATGCAATGTATTAAACTGAATGGTACCGATCAATATCTAAAAATGAATTCATTAATTTTTGTTTAATTTATACCATGCACACTATAACAAATTATAACACAATTACTCCATCAATTTTGATACAACTAAATATATTGTGAAACGAAAATACTGACTTAGCTAGATATCATATACACTACAACATATTATACATTGGGAAAAATGTTTATCAACTATACTTGCAAAAAATTAGTAGAAAAAAATCTAAAAATTATATTGTCTTAATAAATTCACTTTAAAAAAGACTAAACCTTTCTAATTTTTAAAGTAGGAATAAGACTATTTTAGTCTTCTTCTTATAGTATTTTATTAAAACAACGCAATTTTTAGTATTTTTTACCTAAATTTTTTGCAAATCCACTTAATAAACATTAATTTCTTGATTTATATCTTCTTTATCATACATAACAATTTATAATTAATATTTTTTATTCTTTAGACTTTTTTTTGCTAAAAACCTTTTCGAACCTTATGCACCTGTAATATCCCAAAATTTTGGGGTATTTTAGCATTAAATTGGGGACTTATTTGAAGAAAAATATTGTTTTGGGGCTTAATCATAAAATTTTTAAAAGTTGAGGGACTAAAAAGAAAGGAAATTAGGATAAGGATGAATTGCTTTTTCTTTTTCTTTTTCTTCCTTTCTTTCCCTCCCCATCAGACCCGCGTGCCCTGCTCTTCCTCTCCCCCGACCCTCTGCACCCGACGAGCTCCCCCCGTTACCGCCACCCATTTTCCGGCCGGAAATCCGGCAAAGCTTGGGGATTTCTCCCTATTTTCTTGTCTTAGAACACCTGTTGAACCCAGAAAATCTCAGATCCGCGTCTTCCTCCCTCTGCTGTCCGTCGGCTGCTATGTGGGTGTGAGGTTTTTGGGCTTTTTCTGGTAAGATTTAGCCATGAATCCCTCTCTTTAACTTTGATTTAGGCTGGGTTTAGTTTAATTGCTTTTGTTTCCTTCCAATTTTTGGGTAGCCGCGAGTTCCCCTGCAGAATTTCTTTTTCTCTGCCGTCGGCTTCTCCCCCCATGCTAGGCTCGGTTTTGCTTGCTAAATTCTGGTAAGTAGCCGTCTTTTCCAAGCTTAAAATGACCCATTTAATGGCTGGGTTTTGTCCATTAGTTGATGCTCTGTGTTGTCCGAATCTGCTGGTATAGGGGATGAATTTGGTAGCCCTTTTAAATGTGTTTTAAGCTTGATTAAGTAGAATTTAGCTTGAATTAGTTGCTGTGATGTTTTGTGTGAAAAATCCCGTGAGATTAGCCATGGTTTTGCTAATTTTTGGAAGTGGCAGTACTGTTCACGGTGTGAACACTGTTCATGGGCACTGTTCACACACCGAGGGGTAACGATTAGTGGAGATTTAAAGGTTTAGTTTGTGATATAAGAATGAATTTGGAGATGTTCGGTTATGTGGAGATTGATAGAAATGGCACTGTGATTAGGGATAGTGCTAATGATGATTTTACTGTGAATTTGTGGTTGTGCGGTATTAATGGTGGAATATTGTGATTAGGTTTTGATCGTTCTGCCACCGTAGCACTTGGGTTAGCCTTCTGTTCTGTGCGAGTGAGGTAAGTAAATTATGGTAAAGCCCTTGATTTTAAAGCTTGTTTTAATTGTTTTTGAGATGGTGGCAAGGTTTTAATTGATTTTAAATTGATTTTACCAGCACTTGAGTGTGATTAAATTGAAATGGAAGTTTTGATGATTTTAATGAGAATTTCATGGTTTTTTTGGAAATGAGCATGATTGATTTGAAATAAGATTATTAGTCTTTTGTATTGATTTGAGCATGCCTACTTGAAATTTAAGTGATTGTCCTGATGATTTGAAAGCGATTAGCGAATTAAGATTTTTCTGTAAATTTCTGCTTGTTTTGTCTCCGATGTGGTTTTGTTGTTAATGATCCTGCTTTGATGATTTGAGATTGATTGTGAATTTCGAAACTTTCTGTAATCCTACATGGTTTTGTCTCTGATATAGTCATGATTTCCGATCCCCGCTAGTGAGTGTGTAGCACTTCCGATCCCCGCTAGTGGGTGTAACGCTAGCACATGTCGACATGTTTACTGATATGACGCCTGCCACTGGGCAAATACATTGGCACATTCTGACGCCTGCCATTGGGCGAATACATTGGCAAATTCTGACGCCTGCCACTGGGCGAATACATTGGCAAATTTCTGTTGCCTGCTAGTGGGTTGTTATAACACTGGCCATGACTTATAGATGAGACTACTGAACTGAGTTTTCTTCTGCATTGACGGTTTGTCAGGAAACGTTTTGTTATTGAACTGAATCTGATTTTGCATTGACGGTTTTGTCATTGAACGTTTTGCTATTGAACCGAATTTGATTTCCG